CAGGCAAAATACTTTTTTTTTCCATGTGAAAGAGTAATTAACTGCTTTTTGTTGTTGTTGTCTTAATATATTTAAGACTAATTTATGGAACTGTTGAAGTTTTTTGATTTGCAAACCAGTTAATTTGCTTTGTCTTGTGTAGCAATACCTTTAAAAATGCCTGGAAAACATGAATGTGAAGTTTCATGCTTTACAAGAAAATTTTCAGCAGCATTTTTGTTCTAATAAATGTTGTATAGTAGAGGATCAAGAATTTCTTATACCCTGCAGGGCTCATTTTGCTGCGTGAAGAATCCATCAGAGATTTTTTAGGAAGTTAGCCTCCAACTGAGGTATACCCAGCTGTTGCTTCTGTTGCTCTTGTGCTCCTCCTGTTGGCAGCAGCTTTAGGCATCCTACTAAGCCAGAACCAGCTTTCATGCTCCTTTCCAAGGCCAAAACTTAAAATTTGGATGTGTCTTTTTTTCTTCTTTGTGTAACCGCTTCTGTTGTGATTACTTTTTATTTATCCTAATATCTGCACTGCTATGCAAAAATCTGTATCTCCATAACTGAAAGAAAGCACCCTGGAAATTGAGTCTAAAGAACCTAACTTGCTGTTATGGGGGAAATTTGTAAGTTAGGCTAAATTTTCAGAGACTCTTGACATTTATGAAGTATTGTACAAAGCAACATGTAGGATGCAACACATGCTATGAAAGCTTGAAGTTCATTAAAGGCAGATTCTCAACTTTTATATTTTTCTGTATTTTAGTAACTTTTATTGTCTTTTGTAAACAATTGAATCTGTTTATAAAGTGTGTGAGGAAAGGTCTAGAAAGGAAAAAAGAACTTAAAATTTTATTAGTAAGGTTGTATATTAAGCAAATCACGTGCCTGATAATCAGATTTATGTCTGCAAGGTAATAGCTCAGTTTTAATATTTTCTATTCTCCCTGTAGGTTTGCCTTTTGTCACTGCTCCAAATAAGTTTGAAGCTCTTGCAGCTCATGATGCTCTAGTTGAACTCAGTGGTGCCATGAACACAGTGGCGTGTAGCCTGATGAAAATAGCTAATGATATTCGGTTCCTGGGTTCTGGGCCACGCTCTGGATTAGGGGAACTCATCTTGCCTGAGAATGAACCAGGGAGCAGTATCATGCCAGGTAATATACAAAGGGAAAAAATACCTGTTTCTTTTGTGTTGGACCAGTATCTGTTAACAAGTATTTACTAAAAACTTAGCACAAATTTCAGTAAGTTCAATTCATGTGTCAGTTTCTATCTTCTGTCTTATTTTAACAAAATTTGTGTTAAAAAAAATTGCCTTCACAGCTGCATGTTGGAAAGTGCGTGCCAGGTATTAATATTATGTAACTACTAATGCAAGCATACTTCTCAAAACCAGGCTTTAAATGATCCAATCTCTGAATCGTATCCATTATTTGAGCTGCATAAAGGGTGATTGTTTGGCCAGTATTGTGAGTTAAATTGACTTCTGTCTTTGCTTCCTAGCCTGGTTAACATTATGCAATCACATCTTCCCTTCTGCAATGATCCCAGTTTATGGCAGGACAAGAAAGAAAGGAATAATATTATTAATCATTCTTTGCTCTTTTCCTAAGAAATGTGTGTATATGAATACTGGACAGCTGAATTTATGCTAACCATGCTAACCATACAAAGTAATTTTAACAAATTTGTAACAATTGCTTGAATTAACTGCAATTTAAAAGTGATTTTAGCAGAAATGCCTAAGTACTTGGACAATGTCAGATTACAATCTGTTAAAAATTGTGGTAATTTAGAGTTGCTTTATTCACGCACATTAGATTCATCTCTCAATGGCGTTGCTGGTGTCGCTTTTAGGAGTGGCCTTCTTTAAAACTTTGTATTCTGCAAATGTTTTTTATCATTACAAAAGAAGGGAATATGTGATTGAAGGCTTTGTATTTTGCAGAGAATGGGAAATTAAATGGTGGTTTTCTTGTAGGTGTGAGATGCATTTAAAAAAAAATCTAGCAGAATTACTGGGAAGTGCAGTAAATTTAATATAATTTTTGAAATTACTTCTTTTCTGTATGTCTAGATGTTGTAGCTATTGAGGAATGAGACATGCTACCTGCTAGAAAAAAAATATTTTGTTGAATGTGATTTGGTAGATACAGGACTTACTGCTTTACCTTCTTCTCTCCCTTCCACAACCAGGAAAAGTGAACCCCACGCAGTGTGAAGCTGTAACCATGGTGGCAGCCCAAGTTATGGGAAACCATGTTGCTGTTACTGTAGGAGGTAGCAATGGACACTTCGAACTAAATGTTTTTAAGCCTATGATGGTAAGTTCAAACCATTTTAAATATCTAGGACTCTTGAAGTTCTCATTTTTACAGATAGTCAGATAACAAGCAAAAAAAATCAGTGAGTATATTGTTAAAACAAGCATCAAAGCAGCTCATAAAAGTGAGAACAAACTTGGTTCTTTTGTATAGTTCTTACTATTTTGCCAGGCTTCTTTTTTTTCATGAAGCTTCTGTCTTAACAATGTGTCCATATTGTTAGTCAGCCCAAAGAAGTGGGAAGACAGGATCACAGTTTGAGACAAAAATTTTTGAAAAGCTAAAGAAAATTTGGCTAAAGAAAATACTGTCACTAAAAGTGATGATTATTGTTAATTTGATAGGCAGAAACTATCGATGCTAATTTGTTTTACTGATGAAGACTAAGGTGTGAACCACAATCTTATCATGAGTACCCCTTCTCTGTGCTTAAAAAATGTACATTTAGCTAACTGTTACATCTATCTAATATTACATCTAAGAAAAAAAATGAGAAGAAATTGAGAAAAAGAATGCAAACAAAAGCATCAAAACTTGAAAATCATAGAGAATTGTGTATAAGATGATGCAGGGATAGCATGGAGGTTAGAGTGGGGATGATATTTTGAGTGCTTGTCTTTTTGTGAGAAATACAAGGCACAAGGGAAGCAATGAGTCATATATTATTTTTCTACTTGGCCTATAGTGACCGACTGCTGCTCTTTTTTTGCAATGGTTAGAAATGATTGATTCAAATTGTTAATAAAAGTAGAATTTGTCTCTTCATAACTAGGTCTGTTTGGGATACTAATTTTTCACCCATTTGAACAGACTTTCTTAAAGTATATAGCATCTGGTGATTTGGAAAAAAAAATCCTATTGCTTAGCCAAGAGATGTTCCTAACAATATAAATATTGTTAGAAACAAATAGCTATCAAAAGAGTGGCATGTAATGGTTTCTGTGAGCAGAAAATAATACCAGACAATATTTTAGATGTCTTCTCTTAATTGGTACCTAGGGGGAAAAATGCCCTTGAATCAAATACCTTTATATATTTTTACTTGCTATTTGCAAAATAGTGTTTATACATACTTTTATGTAAGAGTTATTGGCTTTTAAGCCCTTCTTGCAGAGTTTCTTTAAATATGCCTGGCTGAACTTCAACCCACAAAGGAAAGAGCATATTTACTGTACTCCTTTTATAAAAGTGTACTATGCAAATAGTAGATATTAGAAGAGCACATTAGTTATGAACAAATGTACCAGATAATACAAATATTAATATCTGAGTTGGTATAATAAATAATAGTTGGTATTTTTTCCTCTTTGTTAGATTAAAAATGTGTTAAATTCTGCAAGGCTTCTTGGAGATGTTTGTGTTTCTTTTACTGACAACTGCGTAGTTGGAATCCAAGCCAATACAGACAGAATCAATAAACTAATGAGTGAATCACTGATGTTGGTGACAGCACTTAATCCTCATATAGGTAAGTTTAAGGCTCAGAGACATCTTAAACCATTATACTGTAATATTTTGCAGTAGCGTTTGATTAAAATATTTTGCAGTAACATTATTTTGTATATATTGTTTGTATTGTCACAATACTTAGGAGATCAAGTTATGAATCAGGTCAAAACTTAATTAACATCCCCAAATACTCTTAAAGATAGATATATCCTGTTTGCTGTGGCCATTTCAGTATATTAAGACTAAAATCCAGTAGGAATCAAACAGGAAACTAGGAAGAATTGTATACCCTTTGTCCCAGAGTGGCCTCTATAGTAATAGTGAAAAATTAAACATTACAATATGAGATATTTCAAAAGGAGAAGTCACTGAGTAGCATGTTGAATAAAATCACATAGAACTCTTATGTCAGTGCTTTATTATGAGAATAACAGAATTTGCTTTCACTTTGAGGTGTGCATTTACTTCAAATTAAGTAGCAATGTATCCATAACAGTAATAGCTAACAAATTGATAGTTCAAGGATGAAGCATCCTTTTTTCTCATATCTAGTAAATCTTGTAGAGTTGCTAACAGCTAATTGGATCACTTTATTTTGTTACAGGATATGATAAAGCAGCTAAAATTGCCAAAACTGCACACAAAGAAGGGACAACATTAAAAGAAGCTGCCATAAAGCTGGGATTCCTCACATCAGACCAGTTTGATCAGTGGGTGAAGCCTAAAGATATGTTAGGTCCTCAATAATGTATTGAATGTTCTTATCATAAAACAATAAATTAAGCAGATATGTTGCGCTCTTGGTTTGCTGCTTCTTGCCACATGTTTTTATGGTATTATGCTTTAATGTAAGCATTATCTGTGCTGAGATCATTTGGAGAAGACTGCATTGGGAAATAGGTACGAAGTGATTATTCACATGACGCAGAAGGACCCTCCGAAGGGGTGGCGGGGCGGTGGCTCGCGCTCAGCTCCGCGCTCAGCTCCGCGCCCAGCACTAACCGGATGTGGCCATGACTTTGGCCGCGGTCGCGGGGCGGTGCGGCCCTTTAAATAGGCTCTGCGTAGCCCCGCCTCATTCCGAGTAGCCAATCACACCTCGTCTCTCTACGGAAGGGCGGAACTTAGGGTGCAAGTTGCTGTAAGGGCGCTTCTGCCTTCCGCAGGGCGTCGCGCTCGGCTCTTCCGGCGAGGCGGTGGCGCAGGCGCCGTGGCGGGCGGAGCCGGCGCTGGGTTTCCGGGGCGGTGGGCGATCGTTAGTGCCGTTGTCCGAGCGCCGCCGCCATGAACCGCTTCTTCGGCAAGGCGAAGCCCAAGGCGCCCCCACCGAGTCTCACCGACTGCATCGGCACGGTGCGTGGCGTCCCAAGGGCCCGCGGGCGCGAAGGGGCCGCGGGGGCTCCGGGGCCGGGCCGGGCTCCCCGCACCGCCGTGTGTGCGTGCCAGCTTGACGTGCGTAGTTCTGTGTGCGCTTGGTACGCGCCGCGGCGCGAGCGGGCCCGCTGTGTCCTGTAGGATGTTGTTTTATTGGCCGAGAACCTGCGCTTTGCTTTTTAGCAGCTCTCAGTCAAAATGTAGCTCCAAGCGTGCTCAGTTTGAGTCATAAGTAAGAAGTCCGCGCAAAAAATACCCTTTCGCATTCCTTCCTGCACTCTGAAATCCATCTGAGATGCTATTGTTTACATTTCAATTTGCCCTTTTGACAGCGAAAGCTAGAGACCAGGAAATCTTTTCCCTCACAGCACATTAATTTCCCTCACATACCAAATAATTTGTTAGATTTCTCGGGAATGATCTTGCCACTCTGAGGTAATGCATGCCTTCTGTCCTTGAGACCAGCCAATTTTAGATGTGCCAGCAGCTTTGCTTCCACAAGGAGCTTGTTCAGTCCCCTTGGGCTTTTGCAGTATATAAGTATATTTTAAACAGTTCCTATTTTTGTTGACTGTACAGGATTAACAAACAAACAAACAAAAAACATGAGCCACTGGGAGCAGCATGCTGTTTTATTTTTTCCAGTTATTTATAATTACATTATCTGGGAATTGGGCTGTACAAGATGCATCAGGTTAACTGGAAAGTAAAGTGCCAGGTTCATTTTACATGTGACCCTTTTTTTATTTTTTTGGCAACCAATAATGAGTTATGGGTTTTAAGAAATGAAATGGAGAGTCTCTCTCAGTGCAGTGTCCGGAAATGAAGTGCTGGCTCTAAGTGCAGGTGTTTGACTCAGGCAAGGTTGTAAACCACTTTATTGTTACTGAATTCCATGTTAGTGTTTTTCCTCCAGTTTTGGCAACTTTCATTCTCTGTGGATGAAACTAATTTTTAAAACAATTATGTATGTGAGCAGGTGTTGGGACATCCTTCTGGATGTTCTAAGTTTGTGAATGAATTTGTTTGTGTCTAAGTTTGTGAATGAATTTGTCTTGCTGTCACATTTGTCCTTTTTGTCAAAGGCTTGCAATGTTTTCAGTTCATACTCACAACAGATAAGTCCTGCTAAAGGAGTAGTGATATCTTTAGGATTATTTTTCTTAAACTGCTTTTGAAAGATCATTAAAAGAGCAAGGTGAGATATCAGAAATGTATGCTGCTGCTTTAGCATGTTAAGTTTGGTGGTTTGGAGACACACATAATTTTTAGTTCTCTTATTTTTGATTTGAAGCATATTTCTCTGTACCATTGAAAGATGGCCAAGTTGCTTTTTAAAATCTCTTACTGAGCTTTTTTATTGCTTGCTTTTTTTTCTAATTATTGCTAGAAAAAAACCTCAGATATCTATTAAATAACAATTATCCATTAATTGTATTCTAAGAGTTTTGAGGAATGATCACAGTCAGTTTGTAAATCAAACATTAAAATATCTAAATGGTTCTAGATTTGTCAATTGAAAATGACAAATGCTTTTCCAGTCTTTCTCTCTGATGTCTGGTTGCTGTTGAGTTCATTGTCTGTCTGCAACATCTGTCCATGCTTCTGTCCGCTCTCTCCAGGTAGTCTCCAAGGCCTGTTTCTGCTCTGCCCCTTGCAGTTCCTGCTCTCTCTCTTTTGGTGCCTGCAGAACTTACTGCTTTCCTGAGGGCTCCGAGCTGTCATGAGGGTGGTGGGAGGGAGGTTAGATCAGGAATTGTGGCATTGGCAGCCTGTTTTCATGCTCTGCTTTGAAACAACACTCCAGACTAAAGGTTTTTTCAAAGCAGTTATGGGGAAACTTAGCATAGAGCAAAGGTAGTTATGACCATGATGTTAAGAATGTCATTTTGAAAAAATAAATATATATATAAAACACACACACACAAGTTTTGGAGTAAGCTGCTATTTTGTTTAATAGGGATTTGGGATATGACTTCATTTTCTTGTGCTTAGGTTGGTCTCATTAGCAATAACAAAGGCTCCTGTGTGGGTATTTTTGTGTGTGAATAACAGAAAGCACCTCCTTGAGTCTTAATGCATAATGTAGCTTTCCTTAGCATAAATTGGGTCAATTCTTGAAGGGATTGTTCCCTCATCTGATGTATGTGTATCTCCGTAACATATAATGTGTGCATTTAACATCAAGTTTCTGGACATGGATGCTGGGACACCACCTTACCTGAATTTGCAGAAGCCGATGTACTGTATTTGCGTGATGCTCAGTTTGGTTCTAAAAGTTCAGATTCTGTGTTTGTGATTATGCGCTTATGTAGATAATGGGCATCACAAACAAAGACTGAGGCCGATTCTCCTAGATCTGTGTGTATCCTTATAGGCTCTTGCCTAAATAGCTTGTTTTCCCCTGGGAAGGAGGCTGTCCTTAAAGATGCTCTTAGTTGATGAAGACCCTGGAGAGTTGCTAGACTTGGAACTTACATGACCTTAAAAACCATAAAATAGCTTATTTTCTTGTTAGTAATAAATTGTTCGGAATAACAAAAAGCATAATGCAAAATTTTCAGTGCCAGCTGTGACTGAGCTCTTTGGTCTCTAGTGTAGAAAGCGTTCATGTCAAATGCTCTGTTCAAAATGCCTCTGGCAAAAGCATGTTGCTGTCACAAACAGTGAGTTGAAAGGAGCTAAAGACACAAAAATTAAAGTGATGGTAATTATATATGTTTAGATACACTGCTAGCAAGTCAGAATTGTCAATTTACACCTGTTCATCTTTTTCTAAAATTAATGTATAATCATATTTTAATCCCTATAATCTCAGAATGAAAAATCATAGAGTTTTTTTTTTTGACATTTTCAAAGGAATGCTGTGATTGCCAGTGTGTGTGTATATATATTTAATTTGTGTATGCTTAGAATAATCTATTTTTGAAGTTTTAATGTTCTCTGCCCATCAGAAGAGAGCCTTTAGTCTTGCTGAACACATCCTTGTTCCTCTCGCGTTGCTCCTCACCTGCCAGCACATAAGCTGCTCTGTATCCATTCTGGCCTCGTCCCTGGCGCTGTGCACAGGCACAAGTTCCTGCACAGAGCTTGTGGCTTGAGTGGGTTTGCAGAGGAGCCATCCTGAAGCAGAGCCTGCTACATGCAGGGCTTACTGCAGAGCACTTCTGTTGCCTTGCTCGATTCTGGTTTCTTACGCTTGATTTCTTACAGGCTTTAAACTGTTCATAAAATTACTGTGTGAGGAATGAGAGCAGGAAATTAGAGATACATTCAAACCAAGGTCATTGTTTTATTGTACAATGGATAACAGCTTAGTGAATGTTTCTCCTGTCTTCCTCTCCCTCTTTTTTTTTTCCCCTTTTTCCCCTCTTGTATGAAAGGTGGATAGCAGAGCTGAGTCAATTGACAAGAAAATTGCAAGGCTTGATGCAGAGCTGGTGAAATATAAGGATCAAATGAAGAAAATGAGAGAGGGGCCAGCAAAGGTAAGAATCTTCTATGGGGTTTAAGCATGAGAACATCTGACTCGGACTTTTTCTCGTGTAATGGGTTGGTACTGTAGTACTGTAGGTGCTTCAGGTTCTTAAAGTTGTGTCTGGCATCACTGAACTGGTGTAAGATCCTGGAGATGTACTTCTAATCTAAAGTCTCTGTCAAACATGCATCTTAACCCAGTCAGAATTTCATTTTCTTTGTTTCATCTGAAATGTAATGTGGTTTCCCCAGTCTGAAAGCTTGCTTCCCTTCCTCCTCCTGTTTTCTGAATCAAGTCTAGTAAGAGAGGCTGTTTAGTTTATCTGCCAAAAGGTCTGCACTGTTTTGCAAGGGGATAAACATCCGCTACAAACAGTATCACGTATTTTACAGTATTGCTTGATGCTGGCCATTAAAATGTGTTGATGCAAGATGGTTCTGCTTGATCACATTTGACTTCATATTCTGCTTATCAAAAACGAATTCAAGAGCTAGAAGTTCCGAGTGTATTTGCTATTAGGAACATTTACCCAAGTCTGCTTTATTACTCTTTAGTACAGAATGAACCCTGAATGTGACTGCTAAGCTCAGCATGATTAACTGAAGACTCTTTGGGAAAATGTAAATGTTACACATTATGTTCAAATAGTATAAACGAGGGTAAAATCAATTTCTTTTTCCTGATTATGTTTTGTTTCATCTCTTTCAGAACACAGTAAAGCAGAAAGCTTTGAGAGTGTTAAAGCAGAAGCGAATGTAAGTTTAAACCTTTCTCAATCCTGAGTTAACCAAAAGCTGTTTTTAAGGAAAGTGGCATTTATCTTTTCAGTACTGTTACTTCTCAGTATTTTTACAAGAAAATAGCTGAACTAGCTTAATCAGCCTCTCAGGAGCAGCTATGTGCACACCTTGTGTCAGCGTTATCTGTGCCTTTTTTGTATGTGAGTATATACATTTGGATTGGGAAAAGCTTATATAAATCCGCTTATCACTAAAGCTGTACTTGACTCCTGAACTTGCTGCACAGGACAAATCCAGTCAGTTTATATCTTTATTTGATTATTGTAAACAATGTACTTCATTTTTCTATACAGAATTTCTTCTATACAGAATTGCTCAATTACTTTTTAAATCCGTATGGCAAGGAGCACAGTAGATTAATTAGATGTTATGAGGACAACTGCTTTCTTTTGTTTTTGACTCTGCAATCTGCTAATCTGATTTGATGTCTTCTCAGTGCCTGTGTTGAAAGACTCAGTAGTTGTTTCCCCATTTATATTTGCTGGACTCCTCATAAGAGGCCATCATCATACCCCTCAGTCATCTCTCTGGCAGCTTGTTGAACCTTAGTGTGCTTAGTCATTCCTTGTCCGGAAGCTGCTCTGTGTTTGAATCATCCCTGACCTGCTCTGAAGCTTTTCCAGTTTTGCTACATTCTTTTTGAGATAAAGCACCCAGAATTCCACACTGTATTTAAAATTTAGGTTTGCCTTGCAAATAGCATGATATTCTTTTTTTCCTTTCTTAGCTACTCACAATTTTGCTTTTTGCTTGTTCTGAATACTGCTGAACATTAATGTGGCATTTTCATAGAACTGTTTATCTTTTTATTCCTCCTTGTGAGGGCTTTCCCTCTTACACAGCACATGCTTAGTTTCTGAGGACTCTGTTTCTTTGTTGACAGAAAGAAATAGCCTATGTTAGCTGGATCATCTTCATCCATACACACTCACTGCCTCCCTCAAAGAACTCTAGTAAAACAGTGAAATTATCCTTTACAAAAGCTCTGTGAGTTCCAAAAGATCACATTTACCTAACTTTGTTCTGTATTCTAATTTGATAGGTACTGATGTCATCTTGCTCTATCTGGATCTCCCCTGAGAAATTACAACTTTCCGTATTTTATTTAGCCCTTTTATTTAGTTTGAGGACTAAATATATATATATATTCCGATGAATAGTTCATCTCTTTCATTCTGGGTTCTCAAAATTGAGTGAATTATATTTAGAGTCAGTTGGATGTTATTATTTGTATTTAGTCTGTGCCATTTTCTGTATACACTTGAATTTCAGATGTTCTGATGAGCCTCTTATAAAGCAGACTTGCATTACATAGACAGTACGAGTACTTCCATGGTGAACAAGGATTGAAATTTTTAAAAATTAATAGTGTTTTTAAGGTTTGTGTGGTGATATTTTTAAGACATTATTTACATTGTTTTTAACAGGTATGAACAACAGAGGGATAATCTATCACAACAATCTTTTAATATGGAACAAGCTAATTACACTATTCAGGCACTCAAGGATACAAAGACAACGGTACAATATTCATCTCAACTTTCTTTTTTTGTAATGTGGGTAGATACAAACATTAGATACAAACATGTTTAATTCTTTTCTAGGTTGATGCAATGAAACTGGGAGTGAAAGAAATGAAGAAAGCTTACAAGCAAGTCAAAATTGATCAAATCGAGGTGAGCTGCTGCTCTCTAATAATTTAGAATATTGAAACAGTGTATTGAAATAGCGATGGGAGTGGAGAACTAAGTAAGTAAATGGCAAGCTCATTAGGTTTTTGTTTGTTTGTTTTGGTTTCTGTTTTTTTTGTTTGGTGTTTTGGTATCACCTACCATTCTTTCCTAATGTCTCTGGTACCACACAATCAGCTGTTGCCTTTACTGCGCTACATATTGTTTCCATACTGGCCTAATCTTCCATCTTTCTTCATTCCTCCTTTCATCTCTACATCTATGTAAATGTTAGCGACTACTTTGTTCTATCCCTTCTTTATCCCTTCTTTTTTTTCCCCTCATGTTGCTACTTCTTTGCCCCACTGTGTTCTTATTCATGGTAGTTACTGAAAAAATATTTTCAAGAAGCATGCAAAGCTTCACAGTATCTTCAGAAAATCCAATTTAAAAACATAGTTTAAAAACATAGTATCTTGAAGTGTAACAAACATGCTGCATTAAAATGTTCATCAGATGTCAGTGCTGAATTCCACTAAATTCTTTCCTGTGCTATTTTTAATAGTGCCTGTGTGATAAACTCTTAGACAAGGATGATTTTCTTATTTGTATCTATGTATAGTGCCAATAGGTATAGATATGCTAAAATATCTTCTACTTTTTTGTTGTTGCTCTGGCACAATCAGGCCAGGTGTTTTTCTCTGGCAGGTAGACGTACTCTCTCCAGATTTCATATTCTCCTATTACGTTATTAGTTTTTTTTAACAGTAGTGGAGGCTGTGCTATAATACTGAATATATATGTAATGACCAGTATTAATGCTACTTCCTCCCCCCCGCCCCCAATCTCGAAAAAAGTAAAAAAGGGATTTATATATCTGTGAGTGCCTTGTAGGCTGGTTGTGGCTACGGTCTGATAAATTTAGCTAAAACTGTTGGATAGAGACATGATGATACTTTTGTTGCTCCAGGACATACAAGATCAGTTGGAAGATATGATGGAAGAAGCCAATGAAGTCCAGGAAGCGCTGAGCCGAAGCTATGGAACACCAGAGATTGATGAGGACGACTTGGAAGCAGGTGAGGAAAACTCACAGTGTTTAAAAAGTTTTAATTATTCTAAAACAATTTTAATTATCCTTTTAAGCATAAACTATATTTCTTACAAGAAACTTAACTTTTGTTACCTGAACTTGTTTTGAGTGGCAGGTGGGGGTGGTTTTCGGAGTGATAGTTAAATAAGAAACATAATAAGCAACGAAGTGGTTCATTGTGAACCATGTTTCTGTATAAGAGATACTTTGTTTCTGCAAAAGAAATGCCTTGGTTAATTTTTGAACCTACCTAATAATTTTATTTCAGAACTGGATGCACTAGGTGATGAAATTTTAGCTGATGAAGACAATTCCTACTTAGATGAAGCCGCATCTGCTCCAGCAATCCCAGAAGGAACTCCTACCGATACAAAAAACAAAGTGAGTCTTTTCTTTAAAAGAAAAATAGATACATATATTCAGAATTAATCACATTTATGTGGGTTGCTTGTTGTTTGGAATCCTCAATATGTTAAACAAAAATTGTGCTTAATGCTTTCTGTATTTGGAGTGATCTACTTATGTATGATGAATTAGCCCTCTAGATCGTAAGCTAACTATTTTCAAAGATCTGTACATGAGAGAATACAGTGTACTTTATGCTCTTTGTTTTCAAGAGCTAAAATGGCATTTTAACTTGTTTTCATAGACTTTATAAGCTTAGTTTTTCATATTTTTGATTTTCACTGCTGTAATACAGCTTAGAATGCCACTTGCTTTTATATTGATCTCAGTTGTCACACAATTACAGATACCATTAAATGAAATTGTGGGGAAAAAATGCAGAACTTGTTAACTTGTCTCTTTTTTTTTCTCTTCCTTATAGGATGGTGTATTGGTGGATGAATTTGGATTGCCCAAGATTCCTGCCACATAAATGTTTCAAAAGCACAGTGGATATGGCGAACTACATTTTACAAATCAAATTACAAGATTTTTTTAAAAAAAAGATCTGGAGAACTTGCCCTTCCAGTGTAACCTTAATATCACTACATCATAGTATGCAATATGAATGGCTGCTGGTGTTTCCTTTCTTTGAAGAAAGTTGTTCTACTACTGACTTTTCTATTAATGGAGAACTTGGCACAATTTCCTTCGGTGGAAGCAGTCTAATAGGTTTTGATTTCCTGTGTCTTATCGACAAAGTAATACGTGAAGAGTAAAGGTGACTGTTTATAGCTGAGCTCTGTTTGATTTTGTATTATGGTTCTCTTTCTTGAAATTGAGACTGTATGTTGCTGCTTCCTGTCTGTAAAATAGCTTCCTTGTTTCTATGCTTATTTGATAAAGAACTAGATGCATTTAAAACAAATTCAATCTTGAGACTTTTGTGCTATTGTATTGTAACCTTCTTAATAAATGTAACGGATGATAGGGTTATCATTAACTTTATGTATGCCATTGTAACATAAAATCATTTAGAGTAGCTGATCCTTTGGTGTGGTGTTTTTGGTAATGATCTTAACATGCTGTGTGTTCCCACTGCTTGACAAGCGTATCCAGAGGTGGAGCCTCATTTTGATCCCTAAAATACCCCGTATACTTCCTTTCCACTGTCACATTTAAACCATACTGTTGCCTCTGCCATGTTTCTCCCCCTGGCAGGAGTAGCAATAGATGTTGTAAGGGGAGAAAAAAAGGAAGTGTATAGCCAAGAAAAAAAGACTAAAGAAAACCTGTTGTCTTCCTTCTGCTGAACTCATGGGCCACAGGCCCAGGACTGGTGCCAAACGTCACCGTGGCTGCGGAAGATCAATTGTCCAGCCCGGAGTTAGCTCTTGCCTAACAGGAGAAGCACTTTGTACAACCCTCTGTACAGAAACAACTTGCTTTATCACTAATAAAGGTATTTTTCCCGAGTGTCCCTCGGTGCTGGCAGCAGCCGCGCGCTCTCTTCGCTCCGCCGCCTTCGGGCCGGCGGGACGGTCCCGTGGCGCGGACCGGGCCCAAGGACAGCGCCGCCCCCGGGGGGAGAGG